ACCAGCCTTGCATGCCAGGGATGAATCCTACTTGATCATGGTGCACAATTTTTTTTATATGCTTTTGCATTCGATTCGCCAGGATTTTATTGAGAATTTTTGCATCTAAGTTCATTAGAGATATTGGTCTGTAGTTTTCTTTCTTTGAAGTGTCTTTGTCTGGTTTCGGGATCAGGGTGATGTTGGCCTCATAGAATGAATTTGGAAGAGCTCCTTCTTTTTCTATTTCTTGAAATAGCTTGAAAAGTATTGGTATTAATTCTTCTTTGAAGGTTTTGTAAAACTCCGCTGTATACCCATTCAGTCCAGGGCTTTTCTTGGTTGGTAGTCTTTTGATGGCTTCTTCTATTTCTTCCTTTGTTATTGGTCTGTTTAAATTGTGTGTGTCTTCCTGACTCAATCTGGGCAGATCATATGACTTAAGAAATTTATCGATATCTTCACTATCTTCTATTTTATTGGAATATAGGGTTTCAAAATACTTTCTAATTATCTTCTGTATTTCTGTGGTGTCCGTTGTGATATTGCCTTTTTCATCCCGTATGTTAGTGATTTGAATTCTCTCTCTTCTTCTCTTTGTTAGCGTGGCTAAGGGTCTGTCGATGTTATTTATTTTTTCAAAGAACCAACTTTTAGTTTTATCAATTTTTTCAATGGTTTTTTTTCGTTTAAATTTTGTTGATTTCCGCTCTGATTTTAATTATTTCTTGTCTTCTACTACATTTGCTGTTGTTTTGATCTTCCTTTTCTAGGGTTTTGAGATGAAGTGTGAGTTCATTTATTTGTTGGTTTTTTCTTTTTTTGAGGAGTGAACTCCAGGAAATGAATTTCCCTCTTAAAACTGCTTTCATTGTGCCCCATAGATTCCGATATGTTGTGTCTGTATTGTCGTTTATCTCTAAGAATTTTTTGATTTCCTCCTTTATGTCCTCTGTAACCCATTGATCATTCAGTAACATATTGTTCATTTTCCAGGTGATGCAGGATTTTTCCTTCCTTTCTTTATCATTGATTTCCAGTTTCATTCCATTATTATCAGATAAAGTGCATGGTATTATCTCCACACCTTTATATTTACTAAGAGTTGCCCTATGGCATAGTATATGGTCTGTCTTTGAGTAAGATCCATGTGCTGCTGAGAAGAACGTGTATCCACTTGATGATGGTTGATATATTCTATATATGTCGGTTAAGTCTAGGTTATTGATTGTGTTATTGAGTTCTATAGTTTCTTTATTCAGCTTTTGTCTGGAGGATCTGTCTAATGGAGAGAGCGTTGTGTTGAAGTCACCCATAATTATTGTGTTGTAGTCTATTTGACTCTTGAACTTGAGGAGAGTTTGTTTTATGTACGTTGCAGCACCATTATTTGGTGCATACATATTGATAATTGTTATGTCTTGTTGGTGGATGGTTCCTTTTAACAGTATATAGTGTCCTTCTTTATCCCTTTTGATTAACTTAGGTTTGAAGTTGATTTTATTCGATATGAGTATGGCTACTCTTGCTTGCTTCCGAGGGCCATGTGAGTGGTATGATTTTTCCCATCCATTCACCTTCAGCCTGTGTATGTCTTTTCCTATCATATGAGTCTCCTGAAGGCAGCATATTGTTGGATCTGTTTTTTTAATCCAGGTTAGTAGCCTATGTCTCTTGATTGGTGAATTTAAGCCATTAACATTTAAGGTTACTATTGAAATATGGTTTGTACTTCCAGTCATGTTTACTTATTTATTTATTTTAGTTTGCCTAGTTTTTCCTCTTCGGTTATGTTTCTCCCCCTTTACTGAGATACCTCCCACTGTTAGTTTTGGGTGCTATTTTTCAATTCCTCTTCTTGTTGTATTTTGCTCAAAATGCCTTGCAGTGCTGGTTTTCTGGCTGTGAATTCTTTTAACTTTTGTTTATCGTGAAATATTTTAATTTCATTGTCAAATCTGAAGCTTAATTTTGCTGGATACAGTATTTTTGATTGGAATCCATTATTTTTCAGCGTTTGAAATACGTTGTTCCAGGATCTTCTCGCTTTCAACATCTGTGATGAAAAATCAGCCGTTAACCTAATTGGTTTACCCCTGAATGTAATCTGCCTCCTTTCTCTCGTAGCTTTTAATTTTCTCTCCTTGTTCTGTATGTTGGATATCTTCATAATTATGTCTCTTGGAGTTGGTCTGTTACGGTTTTGAATGTTTGGGGTCCTGTAGGCTTCCAGGATTTGGCAATCCATTCCATCTTTCATATCTGGGAAGTTTTCTAGGATTATTTCATTTAATAGGTTGTCCATTCCTTTGGTTTGAACTTCTATACCTTCTTCTATTCCAATGACTCTCAAGTTTGGTTTTTTTATGACATCCCATATCTCTTGGATAGATTGCTTGTGAGTTTTAAGCATCCTTTCTGTGTTGACTATATTCTTTTCAAGTTGATAAACTTTGTCTTCATTATCTTATGTTCTGACTTCTACTTGATCTAGTCTATTTGTAATATTCTCGTTTGAGTTTTTAATTTGGTTTATGGTTTCCTGCATTTCTAGGATTACTGTTTGATTTTTTTTTTAAATGTCTATCTTCTGGTAGAGCTCATTTTTACCATTTGAATTTGTTTGTTTAATTCGTTTTCAAAATATACTTTCATTGCTTGGACTTGCTGTCTCATTTCTTCTCTAATATTCCGTTCCATCTGAGTTAGGTATGCCTTGAGTTCTTTCTCTGTCCATTTTTCTGATGCCTCTAGGTCCTCCTGTAGATTTAAGTTGTCCTGCATTGTTTGTAATCCTTTTTTCCCTTGTTTTTTCATGTTGTTCACGTTATTTTCCAGCTCTGTTTGACTGCTGTGTTTCTGCTTTCTCCTATAAATTTGTTTTGGTTTTGTACATCTCTGTTGTCTCTCCTTTGTGGTGAGAGTCTATGCCTAGAAATGTTGGGCTTTATTGTACTTTAAAGCTGGTTCATTCAATTCATAAAAGGCTTCTGGATTCTGTATGCATATAGTGATTTGTTGTCTGTTCTTAGAACTTTATGTGTAGGTTAGGTGCTATGATGGTATGAGGGTTCCTATGTCTTGGCTACTTTAGAAGGTTGCTCTCCTGAAGGGGGATACCAACAGGTGATTGGATCAGGGTGTTGGTAGTAGCTAGGTATTTAGGAGCCATATAGACAGCCTCAAAACATTCACCTATTTGCATTTAGACAGTTACACGTAATGGAAGACGTAATGCTTGGGATGAAAGTTGGGGGGTAGGGGAAGGTAGGTGCTCTTAAAAACGAAGAAGGAGAGAGATAGATAGATTAGAGGAGAATGGAAAGAACAAAAAACTTGAAACAGGAAAGAAAGAAAGAAGGAAAAGGGGAGAAAAGAACAAAGAGAGAAAAGAAAAAAAATTGAAGTCTTAGAGATCCATTTTCTTCTCTTCCAGTAGGCGGAGCTGTGCCCTCCGAGCCGAGCTTCTGCCCTCTATGTGCCGATAGCAATCCCTGTAAGGCGGCTCCTGGGAGTCTCTCAATCCTGTTAGTCCAGAGCCGTTTCACTTCTCTCGCCCCTCCCCCGCTTCCTCCTGCCAGCCAGCCAGCCAGGTCCTGTTCACCGGAGGCAGTTCCCCAAAGATCTGGTAACACTTGCAGCCCCACCGCGTATCCTATTTCCCGAACGACTGAGCACTCTCTCTGTCATTCATCTAAGCCCCAGTGCTGTGGTGCAGTGATCTGGGGACCAACAGTTTAATTTTTCCGGACCCCTTTGGTGGACATGACCCCGGAAACTGGCGGCTAAGACCTTGGGTGTGGCTGCTGTGGTAAGGGGAGTTGGGGATCTGGAATCCCCTCTGCTTCCCTACAGACACGCCCCCGGCGAGATTCCCGAGGTTTCCTGGCTGCTTGTATCTGGAGGGGGTGGGAGTCACACACCTGCTAAAGTGGATTCCGCTGGGAAGGAATTCCGTCGGCCGACCTGTTCCTAGAGTCCCTGCGCTGGTCCTGCTGAGCTGCGCCTCAGAGGCTAGCTGCCCAGTCGTGGGGGCTGCTGGCGGGCGGCCGACGGGCGAGTCTCGCGGGCAGCGGCTGGCGGGTCAGGACTTCCACGGGTTCTTTAGCACTGAGCCAGAGCAGTTTGTCTGCGAGATGCGGGTGAATGGGAGCCTGAATTCGGCCCCTACGGGCTCAGTGTGTGTTCTGAGAGGCCCAGACTGTTCGCCCCAGATCCACATTAACTCAGGAATGCCTAGTGATCTTGAGCGAACAGCATTTAGACGATATAATACTCCCTATGCCCGCGCAGCTGGAGAGGTCATAGACTTGATACCTCCGTGCCCGCCGCCATGTTGGATCCGCCCGAGCAGATTTTTAGTAAGAGTAAAATATAACATTTGATTTTACTACAAAATCTGCTTTCTATGTTCATCTTTTTGTTAACATGAAAATTACTTTGATACAGACATTATTACCGTATATACATGTATGATTACGTTACTAGAATGACTTTGCACCATGTATAGCCAGAGGAATGAGAAGTTGTGCTCCATTGGTGTACAAGATGTCAAAATAAATTATTTAATTCTACTGTAAAATAAATTAATTAATTAAAAAATCTCTTTATCATATTGGTTCTATAGATAAGGTTTTGTTATCTGAAAATTTCACATGTGGGAAGGTCCGTTTTCTTTTAGTTTTGGATGAATCAAGTGATTTATTTGAAAACATTTATTGAAGTATTATTTTCGTACTGAGAAATGAATAAATTTAGTTACAACTTAATGAATTTCACAAATGCATTCTCTATGTAGTCAATAAATAGAACATCATACTCAAGTCCACCTTCCAGTTACGAATACCTTGAATATTGTGAAAAACTGTAATTCTATAAGATAAAATGATCAAACAAGACTTTTATAATCTCATATAGAGGTGATATTTTAAGCAAGGAAATAGTCTTGAAATACTTTCTTTATAGTTTTGTGAAATTAAAAGTTATACATCTGTCAAATAATTAATCATTTTTATCCTTAGAATCCCGACCCTTATCAGTTCCTGTGAAAGCCATGTTTAATATATCTGAGGGCTGTAGAAGTCCTGAAGAAAGAATGAAAGAATTTATTGGAATAGTATGGAATGCAGTGAAGAGTCTCACACTACAGGTAAAATAAAACTTATGATATGACTCTAGTTTCTGTAATAGTATTTTTAATTTTTTACATTATGAACATTGGTAAAAATTGTCACACAAGTAACACTCATGTAAACTATCTCATTTCCACAGTTTAGTTGAAAACTGTTGGTACTTTACTTAGTATCAACAAAATTATATGAAACATATGCCGTATAAAAATTTACACATTTTGAGATTCTTCTTTAAAATTTTTTGTTCTTTCTAGTTTTTGTTTTTTTTAAATATTATTAAAGATTTTAAAACTCAGTGCAAAATCACACTTAGTATAACTGATATAGATTATTAATTGGAATTAAATTAACCTAAAAGTGTTATCTAATTGCTTTCTTACCTAATTATAAATTTAAATATGAAAATTATTATAGTTATTTCTTTATTTTATTGTTACTAAATTTTCTTATTGATTTTCACTTTGAAATGTGTATCATCTTTTTTAAATTATCCTCCTTCCAGATGATACTTAAACTGGTGAAAATATATTTAATTATATGATAGTCTGATCTCATAGGAATTAGATAAAAGTAATTGAACAGTTGCAAATTACAGGTTTTATATAGAATCTTTCCTCTGTATACAATATGGAAGACCAATGCTAGGGACATCTTTATGAAATTTTATGTGTAACAAACAATAATATACTAACTATTAGGGTTTTTTCGTTCTGCCTAAGATGCAAAAAGTTAAAGAAGAAAATTTTTCCCACCTTAGCAATGAGAGCAAACTATAAGACCTAAAAAGTTACAGTAATTTTCAGCCCTCAAAGCTGACATTTCAAATTTACATTTGACAAGCAAGCCCTAATTTAAGAATCTCAGAAAACACACACATATCGCAATAAATACATGAAAAGAGAACTTTATTTCTACAGAAAAGGGTGTTCTTTTAGCTGGAGAGAAGTAATAACAGATAAAAATCTTGGTTTTACAGGAAGCAATGAAGTATTCCAGAAAGAGTAAACATGTTGGACAGTAACTATTGAGGAAAAATATACACTTGGCTCTCAGTTTCTTTTCCCTTTACTTCCAATTAAATACAGCATTCAAACAACATGTGACTCTTAATCAAAATAAAAGAGCTTTAACAAAAAACTTCATTGCTTAAATGGAATTTCAGTCATTTTCTAAGAGTACTTTGTCTGTGTTATACTCACACTAATCCTAAACATGTGGTGAAATTATCTCTGCCAACACACGAGTAAGCTTTGTAGTGTATTCTTCCCTAGGTTAGCTTCTAGGAGAAAATACGGATGGCAAACTTAATAGTAATTTTTTGAAAGTCTGTCTGAGTCCCCATCTAAGCCATACTCAGATTGTTGACCTACAGAGACTGCAGAATAATAAATGCATATTGTTTTTATCTGCCATATTTTTGGTGATTTGTTATACAGCACAGAAAGCTAATGCACACAGATACGGACACATTTTATAGCATAACAGTAATATAGTCAGATTAATTGCTACATTTAAATTCACCTGTAACTAATGCTTTTTATATGTCTCCATTTGTAAAATGACAGTGAGAGTGTGTATTTTAAATAATATTGATACAAGAGCTAGTAACCTGGGTTAGACAGTTCTTTACAGCCTCTCTTTTTCTGAACAGACTGCTCATGAGAAAATTGAAAGAAGAGTACTCTGTCTGAGTAAAGGTGCCTTGTCATTTCTTCACAGTAGCGTTGTTCTGACTCATTGGTTTGTAGGAATATGCCTTCACAAGTATCAGCTAAGTCTCACCAGTCTTACACCACATGCAGTCTTTTATTGTTAATTATATCTTAATAACTCCTTGTGTTGATTCAAATCTCCTTCTCCCCAGCAACATCCATTAGTGCAGTGATGACAACATATAGGAAAGATCTACATAAATGTGAAAACATCAGTTTCATTTACATTGTGATTATAGAAGCCGGAAATACATATTACTCTAAGGTGGTGCTGAACACATATAGTCAATGTTAGTCTTTCTATAAAACACTGTCTCCTTACCATCTCTTTCATTGTAAATCACTCAACTTCCACTCCCATACCCATAATTATCCCTTCAAGGTAGATCTCCTATGCTTCGTGTAGCTTAATAACATATAGTTTTTCTTTTGCTAACATCTTTATTGTCAGTGGAAACCCATTACTGATGAAAATGAGAATACTTCATGGCAGTTCTACCAGTCACATATTCTTTCTCAATTTGATCAAACTCAATCTGTATTCTTAGCTTGCTCCAGTCTGTACTTATAAGAAAGTAAACCTTGCCTATTTGTTTCTCCACAATGCCTCCCAGAATCTTATGTGCTCCTATAGGTGCTTTGGATATTTTGTATGTGTTAAATTGCCAATAAAATAAGTAATTTTTATTTCTGATCCATATTTCACAAATCTTGTTATATATTATTTTAGTAATTCTCTACTAAAAGTAATCTGTGATGTATTTAGTATTCAAGACAATTTAAATATTGAATTAATGAGTTAGTAGTTCTAAACATGAGTAAATTAAGAGGACATCTTTCTACTGTAATGATGTAACAGGGAGCTTATCTGATCATAGTACAATTTGAAATTGTAAGTTATGGCTTGACACAAATAATATTTCATGACAGAAAGGAATAATTCAAATATTATTGGATCACTCCCTGGTGCTTTTCCTTATAACTCAGGCGTTTTCTAGCACACTAAGCTTGATGTGTGTAAGATTAGTAGTATTTTTTGCTAAATTGGGACTTACAAATTCTACTAGGAAAAACATACTTTGCCTCTTTCCAGAGACTTTTTTGATGATTAATACACTTTCATAGAAAACTTTTCTCTTTAATTTTGGTTTTTAAACATATATAAATTGCTTTCTTTTGATTTTAGTATGTAGCTTTTCTAAGTTGCATATCTTCTTTTTTTCTTCTGTACAGTTTTCCTGCTCTGTTCTAGTAGAAGTGTTTTGATAGAAAAATATTGGAAAACAAATTTAGCCTACATTCATTTGTATACCCACACATACACAATGTATTTATATATTTGATACTTACATATGTGAAGTTTTACTATGATGGGACTATACAGATCTTTTGGATCTTATGTGTCTTTCAAATTAATTACTTGTACACTTCTCAGTGGTAGCCCTGAGGAGGTAGAATGTAATATGAGAAATTTCTAGAAAGTAGTATGCTGCTAAATATAATCTTGGCTTTCTGAAGTTCTGTATGTCCTTTGTGATAATTATTAGAGTTATAAAATATTCCTGTTGAAATAGAAGTACCCAAGAATAAAGAACATGTTAATCTTTTAACACTCTAGTATAAACTTATTATTTAAAAAAGCAATTTGATTAATAATACATCACAGTATGTAATCTTTCTCTCCATTTATTATTCCTTTCATTAATTTGTATATTCAGCTCCTGCTTTCTGTTATGTGTCTTATTATATGTTCAGGAGACAAAATAAACATTAGTTCTTGTGGTCTAGCAGGAAAAAACCCATGTGCCCAGATATGAAATATCATGGGTGGAACACCTCTTTTTTAATTAAATTATTTATTTATCCTAATTTGTTATACATAATGGCAGAATGCAATTCATTTCATATTACACATAAAGAGCACAATTTTTCAAGTTACTGACTGTACACAAAGTACTTTCACACCATTCGTGTCTTCATACATGTACTTAGGGTAATGATGTCTAAGTCATTCCACCATCATTCTTACCCCCTTGCCTCCTCCCTTCCCCTCCCTCCCCTCCCTCCCTTTTTGCCCTATCTAAAATTCCTCCATTCCTCCCATGCACACAACTATAGCCATTATGAGTCAGCATCCTCATATCAAAGGAAACATTTGGCCTTTGGTTTTGGGGGATTGGCTTTCTTCACTTAGCATTATATTCTCCAACTTCATCCATTTAGCTGCAAATGCCATGAATTTATTCTCTTTTAATGCTGAGTAATGTTCCATTATGTATATATACCAAAATTTCCCTATCCATTCATCTACTGAAGGGCATCTAGGTTGGTTCCACTTAAACTTTTGAGAATTGTGGTGCTGTAAACATTGATGTGGCTGTGTCCCTGTAGTATGCTGTTTTTAAGTCTTTGGGTATAGACCAAGGAGTGGTATATCTGGGTCAAATGGAGGTTCCATTCCAAGTTTCCAAGGAATCCCCATACTGCTTTCTAGATTGGCTGCACCAATTTGCAGTCCCACGAGCAATGTATGAGTTTGTCTTTTCCCCTACATCCTTGCCAACATTTATTTTTGTTTGTATTCTTGTTAGCTGCCATTCTGATTGGAATGAGATGAAATCTTAGAGAAGTTTTAATTTGCATTTCTCTAATTACTAGAAATGTTGAACATTTTTTTCATATGTTTATTGGTTGATTGTATATCCTTTTCTGAGAAGTGTCTGTTAAGTTCCTTGGCCCATTTATTGATTGGGTTATTCGGTGGTTTGTTTGTTTGTTTGTTTGTTTTTTTGGTGTTAAGATTTTTGAGTGCTTTATAAATCCTAGAGATTAGTGCTCTATGTGATGTGCTTGTGGTAAAGGTTTGCTCCCATTCAGTAGGCTCTCTATTCACCTCACTGATTGTTTCTTTGGCTGAAAAGAAGCTTTTTAGTTTGAATTCATCCCATTTATTGATTTTTGGTTTTAAGTTTTGCGTTATAGGAGTCTTATTAATAATTTTTGGACCTAATCCGACATGATAGAGATTTTGCGTACTTTTTCTTCCATTAGGAGCAAGGTCTCTGGTTTAATTCCTAGGTCCTTGATCCACTTTGAGTTGAGTTTTGTGCATGGTGAGAGAGAGAGGTTTAATTTCATTTTGTTACTTGTGGATGTCCAGTTTTCCCAGCACCATTTGTTGAAGAGGCTATCTTTTCTCCAGTATCATTTTTGGCGCCTTTGTCTACTATAAGATGATAACTATAGTTATGTGGGCTAAATTCTGTGTCCTCTATTCTGTACCATTTGTCTACAGTTCTATTTTG